TACAAGGTGTCTCAAAGAAAAAATGNTCTCTCTCTCTCTCTCTCTCTCTTTCTCTCTCTCTCTCTCTCTCTCTCTCTCTCTATATATATATATATATATATATATATATATATATATAATATTTTGATATCGCATAAATGTTCAATATTTTTTAGTCAAGTTTTACGCTGAAAATAATCTTGCAATCGTATTTTAAATTGGTCCAGATATGATGCAGTTATGGCAAAAACCTTTAAAAAAATTGGTATGGTCATTTGGTTTGCTATTTATTAATCACATTTCATCTTTTAACTGCTTGCGTTGCGTAAAGATGCAAAGATTTGCTCCTTTTGACCACTCTTCGCCGGTGCTCAGACCAATAGAGTCAGGGGAGATGGATTGCCAAGCATTTTTCTAACCTTTGCCGCAGTTCTTCAACTGAGGTTGTTTGGTTATTATTGGCGCAGGCACTGGTTTTTTCAGTGGTCCTACATAAAATAGTCAAGTGGAGTTAAATCTGGTGAACGAGGAGGCCAACAGATCGGGCCATGAGGTCCTATCAACATAACGGAAGTGACGATTCAAACAAGTCTCACCTGCAAAGAATTGTGTGCAGGGCATCCATCCAGCTAGAGAATCCTTTTTTTTTTCATTTTGCAGAGGTACTTCATCTAATAATGTTAGAAAACGTCTCTCAACAAATTGACAAACTGAGCACCATTTAAATTATTTTCGTAGAAATAATGCAGCCAAATTAATTTATTTCCGAGAAATCCACACCAACTTTGATACTGTCAACCGCCTGATGATGACAAGAGTGCAACATTTTCGGATTTTCGTCTGCCCGCGTTCGAAAATTTCGACGGTTTAGTATGCCGTTAGAGGTAAAGTTGGATTCAGCTATCCATAGGATGTATGGGAAAAAGTTTTCTTCAGCCTCCCAAACGACATATGTGCCTGGAACTTTAGACGCCTGTCATAATCACAGTCCAAAAATCCCTGTACAATAAGATAGGCTTAAAATTATAAAATCCGGAGTACATCTATAATTTTATTTTTTAAAACCTAAAACCCTTCCAACATTTCGACGAGGGGAATTCGGATTTTCGCGAACGTACAGAAAAATATTCAGCCCCTCGTCGAAATTACGATGCCGGATTCTAATTGCTATAACTTTGTCATTTTTTGTCCAAGTTAAAATCCGACTGCCCCATTGTTTTCAGCGTAAAGAATCTTTATAATCATGTGCCAGGATGTATAGGGTCGAATTTAAAATTTTGATGTTGCCTGAGGAACCATTTATAATTTCACTCCAACAAAAAGGTAACAATTTGAAACTAGAGCAAAAAATCTTAAGCATATATTTTTTATAGCTTCATTGGCTAAGAGAAATTAAACCGGCCATTTAAAAAGAATACCCTGTGTAAAACTACATGATCTTATCGTGGTAATATTGTTATTCTTATGGTATTCTATAGGTTCTTATAAAAATTCATTTTTTAATGTGACTCATTATATTCCACGGGCGGAGACAACCAAAATCACTCTTTCATTAAAAGTAGTTTTTATTTTTCCATCAAAAATACGTTAACAATTAATAAAAGTAACTTAAATGCCCAGTTTCATGGAAAACTGATGATTAAAATTTACCCAATAGACCATGATATTTCAAACGTCTTCCATATGACGTTATGCGTCTTCACCAAGTTGTATTTGTTATAAATAAATGTTATTTATGCTGTTATTAGCGGGAAAAGGAGGGGTAGTTGAAAACCCCGCCCCGAGGGTGAAAGTAAGTTATTACCGAGAATGGAGTGGGGAGTGGGTGNATGATTAGAGTAACGATGTTTTCTTATATTTCGACCTCAACAGTTAATCTTATGATTCTTCCTTCTAGAAGGTGGGATAATAGGTCATCACAAAAAAACCACAACCAGTTTTTATCCACAACGTTTCGGATTTATTTTAATCCTTACTCAGGTGAGTTAACGCCTGTAGATAGAACAAATATTTTTTTTACATTTTTATATCACATGGTTATCATTGTTTCTTCACTACTAACAATGGTTAAAAAAGTGGTCGTCAGTCATTAATATTTTATAACAATTTATTTTAAAAAAGAGCCAGTGTGGTATTTATTCAGACATTTTGACGGCACTTCCAATAGATAAAATTGATGAGGTACTGAAAATACTTAACAGTTACCACGAAAGACTAAACTTCACCTGTGAGGTGGAGGAAAACGGTTGTATAGCGTTTTTGGATGTGAATGTAACACATAAGGTTAATGGAAATCTGAGTACGAGTTGGTACTCCAAACCCATGGCATCGAACCGGCTAATACAGTATATGTCCTCCCATTCATGGTCAACTAAAGTTAATGTGCTGATTGGATTACTAAGAAGGGTTTTCAATTTGTCGTCGAAAGGTGTTAACAAGAAAGACAAAACACTGGTTCGGGAAATTTTAAAAAATAATGGGTATCCGAGAAAAATGGTAAATAAATTTATAAACAATAACAATCTATGGAAGATAAACCCAAACGTAAAACTCGGAAAACCTAGAAGGTGAAAATGATTCTGGAATTTCCCATGTCACTTTCCCTTACACCCAAGGGTTATCGGAACAGTTGAGAAGTTGTCTGAAAAGGAAGTTCCCTCTAGTTAAGTATAAATTGTATTCCGAAACAGTAATGCGGACAAAAAATACTATTCACCGCTAAAAGATAAAATTGAGAAAGGACTACAATCAGGTCTGGTATACAAAATTGAATGCAAAGACTGCAAGAAAGTATGCTATGGTGAAGCAAAACAATACCTAAAGAATACAATTTATCAACATAAATACACAGTCCAAACTAATAAAAACAATGAAACTGCCTTGGCACAACATACAGTTGTTAAAGGTCATACTTTTTTTATTTGATGATGTTAATATTGTTACAAAGGAACGAAATAGTAAAAAACGAAAGTTCCTAGAGGCCCTTTACATAAAAAAAGATAAACTGTCTCTTAATTACCGTCAAGACTGTGATATGATAAGTGATTGATATTTTAATCTGTTAAACAATATATAAAAATATTCTAGTCAATTTTAAACTCTGGAGGAAACTTAAAATCTGTGATAGTTGTGATAATAATTGTTAAAATATTGATAATAAAATAAATAAAATTTGTTGTTTAAAAATAGATTTATAAGAAAAATGCAATTTTAACTGTTGAGTGGTATTTTTAATGTTGATTCGTTGGTCTGTGATAAGATGTTGATAAGAGGTCGAACGTCATAGGAGAGGTTGNTGTAAGGACGATTTATTTGTTTTGATTTCGATTCGACATACAGTGACTCACAGATACGTTCACATCAGTAAACAATTTTCTATTATCTCCAATTTGCAAATCCTGTATTTTTTAATCCAGACAACAGCAATAGGATTGAGTTCGTTGAACAGTTGGTAAACAAACATTCACCCTAATAATTTTTATTTATGTTTATACCTTTGAATTGAGCCAGTTTATTACGAGTCTTCGTGTGAACAGTTTTGTGACTCGGGTTACTTCATTGCTTATTTCGCAAAAACCATTCAATAATTCGTCTCAAATTTGTTATCGGACATCAATTTAGTTATTTTTTTATATATTGAAAATATTTCCTTTCCTTAATGGTTATGATCTGTTCCGTTTAATTACAGTATGAAGCCATTTTCAACATTTTTGAAAGATCAAATAATAAAATCTCTACAAGAAGGACTTCCTTATCGTGAAATTTCAAAAAAATATAAATTGTCATTATTAGGGTAATAACAAAACTTAAAAGATCTTCCGGAATTTAAGATAGTTGTTTTAAAAAGAAGAGGAGTGGTCATAAAACAAAATTTTCCGAGGCCAAAACGCGTTGTATTTACGCTCCGTTCGATCAGGATAGGTTGTCAATGCTGCCCAAATTCAGCGTAGGCCAGGTGATAATGATAGTATGGATGTCAGTGCTGAAACAAACGCAGAAGTTTACGTGAGGCCGGATTAAGAGCGACGGGAAAAGTGATGAAACCATTGCTGACCAAACAGTGGCTTGCTGATCATGATTTTAATGACATGGAATGGCCCCCACAGTCATCTAACCTTAATCCAATTGAGCACTTGTGGAGAAAACTAGAAAATCTTTAGCCGATGCTGCAGGAGATGCTTCAAACTTCGATCAACTTTGGGAAAAAATACAAGTTAAATGGGACCTAATTGATCCAGAACAGTACAGAAATCTCGTGAGAAGTATGTCCAGAAGGCAGATGCAGTTTTGAAAGCCAAAGGAGGACATACAATCATATTATCGTTCGCACACGGTAATTTCTTTTATAATATTTTAATAATCATGATAAAGGAACAATTTAATTTTTTGGGTGTTTTTTGTGCTAAGATAAACAAAATTATTAAAAAAACTAGGCTTATTTGATGTCTTACCATTGTTTTGTAAAGTAAATAATGATATAACCCAATTTGCATTCAGCTATGAACGAATCTGTGAGTCACTGTAAGTCGAATTCAAATTCTTAATTTTAAATGAGAACCCCCATTTTTCATATCAGCACTGAGTTATTAAAATCGGTCCAATAGAACCGGAGATATGATTATTTGAAAATAGCCGGAATGCTGTTCTAGTGAGTTAGGGGGAAACCACATTATTTTGTCCTCTACTGCAAAATTTTGAAGAGAAGTGCAAAATCCGTCAAAGTAGAGATAAGCCTGAAAGCTTACTAAATTTCCTGCCAAATCCCATCAATTTTGAAAATACCGCTTGATGATACGCGTAAGCGTAGATGGTGTGTGTGTATATATATATATATTAATGAGAGGTAGTATACATTAAAAATCAGAGAGTGGTCAGTAACCAGATAGAGACGCTCAAATGGATATATATATATATATATATGATTTTTTTTACTGTGTTGTATTTATTTTTATTAATTCCTTGCTCTCGATTCTTGAAAGTTTTATCATTAATGTACATTTCCAGGGTAAATGAACAATACGTTTTAAAAAATACTGTTTTTTTATTGCTTCATTAAAAATGGTAAGGAAAAAGCAGATGGTATAAAAGATTAAAATTTGTTGTCGTCCGAAGGAGGAAGTGACCTGAGGTATTCCAAAGCCCTGGCAATTGCTTCAGGGACTGGAGGAGGTGTCGGCAGATGAGCGCCCTCGGCTTTGAAACCGTTTTCGTCAGCTGTGTACGTCACGGTGAGGACCTGGCCGTCGTCGCTTCTGTATGAGTACGAACCCTGGACGGATAGGGCTTCGTCTTTTGATCCTGGGTTCTTCAGGACTCCGGCGGCCTGGGCTGAAGTGCCGTCTTCGGTCTCGAAGCTGAAAAATTAATCCTCCAAATGTTTTTATTTTGAAAATGTTATATAATTTGTGTAATTATTATATGTTGTCTTTATCTCAATGATGTTATGTATTGATTATAGTATTTTCTAAAATGACATAGAGGGATTCACCAAACAGTACTAATAATCCTTTAAAGTCGAAAAGATTTGGTCACAACCCAAAATCAGCATGGTGCTATTTCGTAAACATTTTTAAAATTAGGGTTTGAAGTAACAAATGTTGCTTATCATGATATATTCAAAAAGTAATTAATAGTGTAACAAGGTAAAAATTGAATCAAACCAATTCAACGAATTATTCATAAACCAAAAATCCATCAACTCTAAAAACTTAAAAGCTAAAACGCGAAATATATAATTATTAATCATAGAAATCATAAAACGCATTTCAATAACATTCAGAAAGACGATAGCACATTTAGCATTTGAAAATGTTGGAAAGTCGTTCGAGTACCTTTTAAAATAGATCACATTTAAAATAAGGCAACGATAGCTTGACAATTGTTATGACGCTGCAGTTAATTTTATTGTTTAACAAAACAAATAATTTTTATATATTACGTATTAGTGTAGTTCGATTTTATTAACAATATTTAACATTAATAATACTTTCAATAGTTTTTGTGGTCCGCTTGACCAATTAATATTTTTCAATTAATTAAGGTTTTTAGTTGAGATAAAAAAGTCAGTGTCACGAGGGGGATTCGAACCCACGATCTTCGGCTATATACGCCGCTGCTCTACCACTTGAGCTATCATGACTTTGATCCACTCGATTAATAATACTGAAACCTCCACGATTTATCTGTGATATTCTGCTGCTATTCCTGTAGTGACATATTTCACAACGATTTCACACAAAACCAATGTGATTCACAAGAATAGCACCACGCTTTATGCTCTGAAGATGACCCGATTAAATGTCGGAACGTCGACAAAAAAAAAAAGAAAAAAGGCGTTTTTCTAAACTACCTCATCCTTGACTACTCGTCACAACTTCAACAAATTATAGGTCACTAAGTGACACGCATTATAAAATAAATTTGATTAGTTTTAAGAAATCTTCAGTTGGATAGAAATTTTTCCACAGGACGGGCAAACGACAAAAGAAACTCAGAATTCTAATGTAAAGTATTGGTCTCTCTCTCCTTCAATATTCGGTTTTAACACTAGAAAAAATTTAAAATTAACATTAACAAGCATTTTTAGAAATCGTGAGATGCAGTCTGGTGTGTTGTAGGTTTCAGAAGAACATTTTCTTTATCGTGCCAACGTTTCGATCTTTATTGAGATCATCTTCAGGGCCTGAGATTTACAAACATTGTTTACATACAACAATTACATTTATAGTAAGTAGTATTTATAGTTATATGTAAACAATGTTTGTAAATCCCAGTCCCTGAAGATGATCTCAATAAAGATTGAAACGTTGGCACGATAAAGAAAATGTTTTTCTGAAACCTACGTGACACCAGACCGCAGCTCACGATTTCTAAATAAATATCGATTAACGGTCACTAATCACCACATATTAACAAGCATGTAAAATACAATCAATACAAACATGTATGTTCTTAATTATTTTTAGAACTGCGAAGGCTAGATCAATTTATACCTATACAACTAATTACTACCGTATATATACACAAAACTAAAAATATGGTTGCTTCCAATGTAGTGGAGAATAATTAAATAAAGATATTATTATAATTATTTCAGGAATTGCCAATTTTCCCCTATTAGAAAAATTTCTAAGCTATATTGGCTTTCAAATTTTGTCGTTACCGGTCATTATAGTCTGCCTGTCATCGTTGGGGTCATCTATCAGATGCATATCGGCATCTTCAGTGTCCCTATATTTATCAGACCCTGTCCGTTGTTTTGCAAATAAAACCGGGAGATAAATATTTAAAATTGAAATTAACATGCCATTTCAATAATTCGAAACTTTTTACATTACAAATGTACTAAATGCCACTGAATAAGTTCTAACCGTTAAACTAACAAACATAATAAAATAGTGGAAAAACTGATATTCGGTCTCAGAAGAAGCCAAAATATAATTACATACTTGCAAACTTGATATTGCTCGGTTACTCCATTAATTATTCATGATTAGCTGGTTTATTGAAATATGAAGCTATTTGGCTAAAAAATGCTGATTACTTCAACAAACCAAACAACCCTACACAATATAATTATTTTAAGATCGGTAGTAACATTCAGATAATATACATACCATGAATAATGTAAGCCCTTGAAATTGGTTGGCATAATTATTTTTTTAACTGAAAATGTCCTTTGAATATACGTTTTTACGTAAAAATTATTGCTTGTAATTATTAATTAAAAATAAACAATACATTTCTCTTTAATATCTCACATTTAGAAAAATCGTGAAAATCACAAAGCAGCCGACTCAATGTATTGAGTATGTTTTTGGATGAATAAGATACTATGTTGTTTGGAGTTAAAAAAATCAACGTTTTGGCTTTCTAGAATTATGAAGACGATATTAAAAATGCTTCTTAAACTTTAGGAACAATAATTATTTTCAGATTATGATATTTAATGTGAAGTTTACTACTTAAAACCGAAGAAAATGGTAAGGTAATAGAACAGAAATACATCTCTTTTTCTCACTGGCAGACATTTTGGACAGATGTGTTTGCACAAACACAACATAAATGTATTAAAACTTAGATTAGGCTGTTGGACATGTGTGACTGAATATACAAGGAAAAATTCATACACGTTACAGCATTAGCCAAAAAGTTAATAATTATGAAAATAATGTTTAAAATTTTCCATAAACGCTAGGAAATGTAATTATTTTAAGGATATGAAACGTAATGTAGTTTTCTAAACCAAATAGAACAAAATCATAGAAATAGTAAGATAACTGAATAAAATATATATTTTCTGTTTTGAACAATTATCAACCTTTCTTTGGGCAGATGCTCAAAAACAACCCTCCAGAAAAAATTCTGAACGAAAAATTTACTTAAACTTATGTTAGGCTGTTACACACTTGGAATTTTATTAAAATTGAAAGAATGAAGCAAAACTATTAAAAATATAAAATGGCATCTGTGTCAAAGGTTTAGTTGCATTCTTCGAAAATTGTTATTTGCTGATTTTTTCTATCATAAAACCTTTAATTGTTATTATGTTCTAAATTTTAGTTTGTTTTTCACATTGATTTCTCTGTGTCAAAATTTATTCGGCTTTTTTTTTGCTCAGTTGTTTTGGTGAAAGATAAGTTTACTGATGAATTCACTGGCTATTCCGTATGTATTTAAATTGATTAAAAAAGACAATAAAATCGGGAAAGAAGCTTGGAGAAAACCTTAATTAAATTATAAATTTTTGTATATTTTTAATTCTTCGAGTTTATTAAAAAAAACTGTAATGAATTAAAAGATTTTATAAGTTTTAGTTAACATGTTAATGAATATATTAAGCTGCTATATAATCTTACATTGAAGTGTTTTTTTCATGTTAGAGTGATCGCCATATTCAATTTAATTTTTAAGTTGTAATTTTTTCAACTTTATATTTCTAAAATGGTATCTCATTAAACACAAGTAAATGTATCGATTTAAGCATACTTACGCATAGTTAAATGAACCGTCGTACTGGGAATCCTGCGATTGTTTCAAAATCCTCGGGTATACGACTGGCCGCGCAACGTCCGAACCAAATTGTTGTTGTCGATAAAACTGTCTGTTCTGGGGTTGTCCAGTTGCGGCAACAACGATGGCGAGCAAAAACACGGCCTACAATCAAATGTAACGTTAAATTTATTTTTTGGTCGAATCGAGAAAAACGAAGAGAATACAGCAGCAAGAACAAGAGACCAATCGGGTTCTACTCACAAAGGTCCACATGTTGAATAAGGTTTGTCCTGAGGTGAGATGGACCTCGTATTTATATGAGATCTGACCTCTTAAAGTGGGGGATTCGGAGATGAATATTTTCACATTATGAAGTCACCATTTAATACCATGATTGCACAGGAAATCAAATCTCTTCCACGTTTGTCACCTTGTGAAAGCTCCTGATAACCGAAAAACGCGAACGGACTAAGTGCTCTTTCGAGGACTTTAATATTAAAAAACATTTCGATTAATTTAAGCAACTTTAAACTACTGATTAAAATAAAAATGTTCCTTTTTGGTTATTTTTCTTAATGTTTTGTCTTCTATTTAACGCATATCTATATTTCGTATTATTATTATTATATCTTTAAGCAAAAATCTGTTTGAAGATAAGTGCAATAAAATTTTTTGGACGACTTTTGTTTTATGTTAATTAATTTTGGCATTCGTTTTTATATTAAATGTTTTTTTGTTTGTTTTTATTGCGGGTAAAATTTTAAGAAAAATACGCAATCCCCGAATGTCACTTGTCAAAATTCGATCTTTAATTAAAAGAAACATTACAATAGAGACTGTAAAAGATCTTTCATTTTATAAAACATAAATATTCTTAAAATTAGGATAGATAAATTTATCAGATTTTTTTCAAACAAGTTTACACTAACGACCTTTGGGAGATAAACGTTGTATGTTCATGATCGATTTTTCATTTTAATGTTGTTCATGTTTTACAGCTCACTTCACACGCTTATCTGAAAAAACGATGTTTCAACCACTAATTTATTTTCAATCCTTTGAAATGTAAACAATAGAAATGTAATCGCGGTCGTTCATCAACGTTCAACCGGATTCAAACCAGTTGGTTCCGAACCCATCCTTCCCAAATGGTTCATAAGACATTTATGTGAACTAGTAAAACATTCTATTAGCGGCTGGCTTTTTTCAAAATTATCGCAAAAAAAATTAAAATATAATTCATTATACAGGGCGTCCTTTTTAGATGGCCCGGCTGAATTTGTCTGGAACGTTGACGCTATAAAAAAAAAAATTAAAAAAAATCGTGTTTAATATTTTTCAATCTATTTTCTATTTCTATCTATCAACTTCAAAATTTCAAATACGACTCTATTCATCCAGACACATCAATTTAAAGGATTTTTACGCTGAAAACACTGGTGTAATCGGATTTTAAATTAGTTTAAAAGTGACAAAGTTTTAGCGAAAAGTTTGGAAAAAAGTGTCACGATAGCTCAAGTGGTAGAGTAGCGGAGTATCAAGCCGAAGGTCGTGGGTTCGAATCCCGCTCGTGACACTGACTTTTTTGTCTCAACTTAAAACCTTAATTAGTTGAATGTTATTAATCGGTCAAGCGGACCACGAAATATAGTGAATTTGGAAAAAAAAGTCATTTGGTTTGCTATTTATTTATTGATTACTATTTATTGATCACATTTCATCTTTGATCTGCTTGCCTTGCGTAAATATGCAAAGATTTACTCTTTTTAAACCACTCGCCATCGGTGCTCAGAGCAATAAAGTCAGGGGAGATGGATTGACAGCCATTTTCTGTCCTTTGCCAATTCTTCAGCTGAGGTTGCTGGGTTATGATTGGCGTAGACACTGTTTTTAAATGGTACCACATAAAATAGCCAAGTGGAGTTAAATCGGGTGACCGAGGAGATCAACAGATCGAGCCATGAGGTCCTATCCACCTATGCCGGAAGTGACGATTCAAATAAAGTATCACCTGCAAAGAATTGTGTGCGGGCACCCATCCAGCTGGAGAATTCTTCTTTGTCGTGAGAAGACCATTTAATTTAATTTCATAAAAACAAGGCCCAAATAATTTATTTCCGAGAAGTTCACACTAAACGGAGATACTGTCAATCACTCGGATCTTCCTCTGCCTGCGTTCAAAAATTCCAACTTTTGTATGGCATTAGAGAGGAACTTGGATTCATCAGCTCATAGGAAGTATGGAAGAACGTTTTCTTCAGCCTCCCAAATCGATATTTGTGCAAGGAACGTTACACGTCACTCATAATCATAGTGCCGAAGTCCGTGGACAAGATGGGAGCGATACGGCTTAAAATTGTAAGTCCATAGTACATCTGTAATTTTATTTTTTGAAAAAGATATAGCCCTTTGAAAATTTCGGAGAAAGGAATTTGAAAGGAATCGTGAAAATACAGAAAATATTCAGTTCTTCATCGAAATTATGCTGCCGGATTCTTTTTGACAAAACTTTGCCATTTTTTCTCAAAAAAAAAAATTACAACTAGACTAAAAAATATTTAAAACGTATTTTTGTATAGCGTCGTTGGTTCAAGAAAAATTCAGCCGGGCTATCTAAAAAGGACGCCCTGCGTATATATATATATATATATAATCTGATATTTTCTACATCTTTTCTACTTAATCTTAAATTGTTATTTACAGTGTTTAGTAGATAGTTTATATTTTCGTTAATAACTTCTACGTTATGTGTGTGTTTCTTTCGAACTTTTAATTATAAATCGTCTTTCAATTATGGCAAAATTACACAGAAGACAAACACTTTGAGTGAGTAAAAATACTTTGATTGAATATATAAAAAATATATTTTGCACGTATAAATTCACATTTCCACATCCAAAAATTAATTGTTATATGTAAACAAAGTTTGTAAATCCCAGGCCCTGACGATGATCTCAATAAAGATCGCAACGTTGGCACGATAAAGAAAATGTTTTTCTGAAACCTACATAACACCAGACTGCATCTCACGATTTCTAAATAAATATGGATGAACGGTCACTAATCACCACACATATAAATCGTAATTATTTTTAAATAAAGCATCCTATTGTTGTTATTATGTTCTTGCACATTGGAACTGCAATATTTAACCATTTACTCATCACTTGTAGTTCCGTTGTATAATTAATTGGTATAAATTTATATCATGGTGAATAGATAGCTTCTTTTGTTGCTCATGAAAGCTTCAGTTCTATTTTCATTTTTCGAGATTTCAGGACGGCTTGGGCATGATTTGAACTTAAAATATGATTTATTTAAGCAATTTAGATAGATATAAATTTAATATCAATTGTTAGTTGATATTTTGTTAAAATACATAAACCTTAAAATCTAACTTTAAAACGCAACAGCAGACATCAGAAAAATTGTATCGGATAGCCCGATGTTTAGTATGTATTGAAGAACGTATCCTACAGCCATTGTCTTATGCAGGGTGTCCAAGTTCCTTCTGACGAAACTCAGGGAATCGATTCTACTCTTCGTTTGGAGCAAAAAATGCTCAGGAGAACATTTTCGGAAATTCGTCAATTTAGGTTTTTTAAACTTTTCACTATCTTACCACATAAAAATGCTTACATTTTCCAAAATGTTGAGACTACAACAAATCCAATTACACCATTTGATTTGCTCTAAGATACTTCTATTTTGAATAATCTGAATGACATAAAATGTTAGCCAATATCAGTTGGAACATGTCAAAATCACAAAATTTAAAATTTTGGTCATGATTGCACGTTCTACTGAGGTTACAAAAAATACCTACAACTTGTCAAATTTCACAAAAACTTCTTCATCTAATATCCTTTACGTTGATTTTTCAACTCTAGTAGAACGTTATTTTAAAAACCTGGATATATCAAGGTAAAGCATACATAGGTTACGTTCCCTATCAATTTTCTACGTTTCTAAGTAAATTTTTTTTAAAAATAGTTTTTCAAGTAACTTGTTGCATTATCATTATAATTTTGATATATGTAATCTGTAAGGAAACATTGATTGTAATTAATAGAGTCCTGAGGAAGGCGTCAAATACAGCCGAAAGCTGAACAGCAGAAAAACAAGTTGGTTCTTTCACCTACAAGGCTTCATACCTGATCTGTTTACTTCCCTTCTTTTCTTTTTTCTTTTTTTTTCGGCCGGCTAACTGCTTCGGTCATTGCCGGCACCACGCGAATATCTTTCTCACATTTTGAAATATCTGCACTTTCTACTGATAACTTCATTCTAATTGGCTACTTATCAGACCTTACGGTTTTTGTTGCATTTTCTTTGTATCCCCTCCACATGTGGTAAATTGAAGTATTTGACCATTTACATACACACACATTCATAATACACATTTATACTAATAAACCTAGTTTCCTAATATTACAACTAAAGCGGAGGTCGGTAAGATGGTTCTGCCGACCTCCTTCCATTCTCGCGAATAAATACATTCAAACGGTATGTACAAATTCCACTCATCCATGAAACTAATCCTGAGGTTTTGTGACGGGCCTGTGGAGTACTCGATATTCCTCGACAGCCACGTCCATTCACACATAACCTCTCACGCTAATAAATACGATTATACTAGAAAGGACGCAGCATCTCGGTAGTATTACTACAACCAAGACGCTGTGGACCCATCCACAATCATACAACAAATGTATTATAACTAAACTAAATCGGTGGGCCTGCGAGTTACTCGATAAACCTACCGAGGTAGCCGCACCCATGCATGCTAAACCACTCACGCTAATAAATACGTTCGTACAATACAATGGGGGGTGAACTACATGTGGGGGTTATAGGTTGCTTTACTACTTCAAAACTATTTTACGAAAAAATACGTTGCATATAGTGTTGTTTAGTTATAAAGCCTAGTGGTTTATTTATTAAAAAAAATAGTTGACAATATTGAAGAACTGTACAATTAAAAAAATATGAACTTGTATTTTATTTGAAAAACTTAATTAATTCGTTAATATGTCAAATGCTGAATTGGATTTTTTCGCTTAAATGTTTGATTGGCTTAATTTTTTATTTCCATTTTTTCAATAATGAAAATTCCCGTAATCCGTGTAAATGTACAAATGATTTGTTTTTTAACTTCCCAAACATAGCACATGTGGAGGTTTATTTAAATTTCATGTGATTATTTAAGTTTCGATTATTTTTATAGTAGTAGTTAGTAGATTTTTGTGTGTGTAGAATATAATTTTTTTTGTACTAATTTTAAACAGATAATTCTAAAAGATTCGATATGCAGTGGGAAAAACTGACTTGGTTCAAAATGTTAGAAATGGTATATTTCCTGCTGTATGTGGTAATCGTGTTAAATGTGTTTTATCATAAACCAAATTTTAGTTTATGGGCGTCATGATTTTTGCACTGCATTCCTTGTCTACGATTTGGTGGGGTTCAAGAAGAAAGTCAAGTTGGAAAGCCATCACGTTATTGACCACGACCGGTTTCTGCAGTCCGATTATCCCGCTGATGTTCCGTATTGAACCATACTTCTACACATCAACGGATATAGTCAAACCATCGGCAAGTTGTTATACCCACTCACTCACTCTCTCTCTGTTTGATGTATTATCTGAAAGGAACAAAACAATTGATAAATTAATCTGTTTTAACAGAACGTCTTCATAATTCTATACTGTTTGATGGCGTACATTTCTGGCTCTGTTCTGGTCTTCGTTGATGCGATCGAAGACACGACAAGATCCTATTCTAGCGACATAGCAATTTGTACTGTTTTCTTTGCGACCTTGGTTGCAATAGTCTTCTGCATCGATCTTATATATGCTCTCAAAAAGTAAATAGTACGTAAAATGTTACATGTGATGATTGTTTCCTTTTAGTTGTTAAAAAGTAAAGACGGTAGATTTATTCCGTAACATAGCAGGAGAGAAAAGTAAACTTTTAGTTCATATAAGTAGCAATCATTGTTTAATATTAACGCAAACTCAGAGAACCTTGGTAGATTTTGATAGAACACGAATGAACTTATTTTTTCTTAGTTCCTGATAACGACGCAATAAATTACATCAGAAACTATTAAAAAAACCTTAAATTGGTATTGCAACTTTTTTGTCTTCCAGAGTACGCTTGAATCTTGTTACTTCTGAATCTCATTAAAAGCATTGCTTTTGAGTGAATGAATGAAAAACTGGTTTATTTACAATATAAACAAAAATACAATAGAGAGAAGAATAACATAACAGTAAATAGACAATGGATCAAAAAATCCGTCTGCCCAACGTTGCCGTGTTAAAACAATAAAAATTTTGTATACACTAAAAAAAAAAATATATAAATTTAATATCAATTGTTAGTTGATATTTTGTTAAAATACATAAACCTTAAAATCTAACTTTAAAACGCAACAGCAGACATCAGAAAAATTGTATCGGATAGCCCGATGTTTAGTATGTATTGAAGAACGTATCCTACAGCCATTGTCTTATGCAGGGTGTCCAAGTTCCTTCTGACGAAACTCAGGGAATCGATTCTACTCTTCGTTTGGAGCAAAAAATGCTCAGGAGAACATTTTCGGAAATTCGTCAATTTAGGTTTTTTAAACTTTTCACTATCTTACCACATAAAAATGCTTACATTTTCCAAAATGTTGAGACGACGACAAATCCAATTACACCATTTGATTTGCTGTAAGATACTTCTATTTTGAATAATCTGAATGACATAAAATGTTAGCCAATATCAGTTGGAACATGTCAAAATCACAAAATTTAAAATTTTGGTCATGATTGCACGTTCTACTGAGGTTACAAAAAATACCTACAACTTGTCAAATTTCACAAAAACTTCTTCATCTAATATCCTTTACGTTGATTTTTCAACTCTAGTAGNAAATTACTCTGAAATGGTTGAGAATCGGACCATGGACAATATGAACTTTTTTGTTCATTTTAGGGTGAAGAATCTACTGGAGAAGTTTGTAGCACGAGTAGCAATTCACCCTGTATATAAAACTTCAGGAATAAAATCAAAAATTAAATTCTTCAGTCAGCTCGGATCGGTAGTTCCACGCCTGGCTCACAAACCCAATCAAAGGCCTAGATCATGAACCGTCCAAAAATCCAGAATTTCCCCCATTTGAGGACATGGGAATTGAAAAGTGAACAGAACCCCTGATCACCCCTATTCCACACGGACGAGTTCAGCTGAAGAACCTTGCATTTTAAAAAGCCACGAAGCTCAACCAAAGAGTAACCTTAAAAATTTGGCTTGTTCAGATCGAACAACGTTGGAGGACCCCTTGATTCTTTATATAAAGCAAGGTGTGCCGAGCTCACGGCTCGACAGCACATTCACTGCGGTGTTGGGAATTAATCAAGTTAGAAGTCAATATCATATTTTCGAACAGTGATTTCCAGGCCAAGAGCCAAGTAATCTCTGATCGAACTATTTTAAGTGAGGTAAATTTTGAGAGTCTCGAGTCCGGAGAAACTAGCGTCTTCAAGATAAAGAAAAAATGAACTCCATTAAATTTACTATTTTTCGTGGTCCGCTTGATCAATTAATATCATTCAATTTATTAAGGTTTTTAGTTGAGATAAAAAAGTCAGTGTCACGAGCGGGATTCGAACCCACGACATTCGGCTTGATACGTCGCTACTTTACCACTTGAGCAATCGTGACTTCGATCCACTCGGGCACTAACTTCCCATCTCAACCCCACCTTTTTTTAATTTTCCCTCCTTTCTGCCATTTTTCAAATGTCGTGTAATCTATTTGATTCTCGAGAGATAGAGCAGCGGCGTACCTAACCGAATGTCGTGGGTTCAAACCCCACTCGTTACACGGACTTTTTTATCTCAACTAAAAACCTTAATTAATTGAAAAAATGCAACCTGAGAGTGAACACAATCAGTAGATCGTTGGCAGTTTCCAAATAGATGAGGTGGGCCATCTGGTAGAAAAAAGGTTTTCTTATGAAAAATCGCTGGAACTTTTTTACAGCTTAGAATCTCTGAAACCCATAGCAAAGAATCGCTCGAGACAAAGAGTTAAATACATTAAACTTTATAATGATCGGGATCGCGTTACCCATAACGTCATAAAAGTCGACCGGTTTGATTCAATGCCAATTTAGCTGCCGATGCCTTTGAGGAGGTATGTCTCGACCAAGAAAGCTTGGGGGTAAATAAAATGCCTAAGTATTTATATTCGTCCACCACCTGTATAGTCTTAATTTTGTAACCCGCAGTAGACTAGCTACAACTACGATATCATCAGGATACAACAAGACTGTTGTAATTGTAGAACCTACACGAATGCCACATTCAAGAGTCAGGGGACGGTCGTCCAAGAACAAAGCAAATAGTATCGGGCTCAACTAGCAACCCTGACGCACAGCACTCTGCACCTCTTAAGAATCAGATATTCCCTCTTTGCCTCGAATCAGATGTCACTGAAAATAACTATTTCAACACCTTAATGAGTTTGAACGAAAACCACAAGTTACTAAGTTGTAGAAATACAGTCAAACGGTCGACACTATCAAATACTGCTTTCAAGTCAATAAATAGGCAATATGCTTTTTGTTTTGGTTTGGAGAGTCTCAGACTAATTAAGTTGGACAAAACATCGAAATTGTCACAAGTTGAGAAATCCTTCCGAAGTCCCATTTGTTTTTTACTAAATAAGTTATCATTCACAAATTTTTCTATTCTATTAAACAACAAACCAATGTTTTAGCTTCGCTATTGATGCAAGAAATTTCTCTGTACTTGGAAGGTACACTATTGTCACCATGCTTGAATAGCGGTAAGATAATAGATTTACCGAAGAGTACGGGACTCAAGCAGTATCTTAAAAACAGTTGAACAGGCAAAGCAAACGCTCAAGGAATTCATGTGGAATTTAAATAATTCAAAAGGGATTCTATCAGGGCCAGAGGCCTTTTTTATCCTTTAACCTACTAGTAACAGTAAGCAGTAAGCATTGAAGGGAAATGAGTCGTCAAGAGAGGGATTGACGAACATAGGTTCTGGATACAAGTGAATTGTTTTGTTCGAGTACATCTGGAGCGATTGAAAACGTTGAGCCCAAGGAGAAATAGAAATAGCACTACTAGAAAGAAATTGTTTTCTCTTTAAGTAGTTAACCAACCGCCAAAACTCCTTCGATCCATAACGGACGCCAAACGAGTGGCAGAAAATTTCTCTTTTTTTTCTAGGCAAAGCCTTTTATAAGAAGCATTTGAACTTAAATAAGCTAGTCTTACAACTTCAGAGCTAGTCTTGCGAAAGAGATTCAGCAGGGAGAAGGACTTTTAGGTGGCCATTCACGATAGCTCCAAGCAGTCCAAACGGAGCGACGCCGTTCCAAAAACCACGTCAATGGCAAAACTGAACTGGCGTGCCCGGCTTGCCGAATATTCGACCGGTCCAAACTCCATCGCGCCACGCCAAATATCTACGGCGCGACGACGGCATGGCGCGTTCGTGAATAGCGTGGAGGGTGGGGATTTTACCACGATTGACATAAAATAAATTTGATCTTCAACCAGTTGGTCGACGTTTTCAAAACAAAGGATGCAAATGCAATGAGAGATGCAGTATTGATAACCCCTAACAATGATCAGAAATCGTAGTAGAGAACTTAAGTTCTTTGTAGTTCATCCCTGTAGCGATGAATGTGGTTGCCAGCCTTTCATGTAGTGATGATTTCTCTCATGACTGTCTTTTGTTTTCTAATCAAGGGGGTAACAAGCTGGAGTAAATATAAATAAGACGTTAATCTTTTTTTTGTAAGGTTTTGGTTGAAATGAAAAAATAGTGTCACGAGGGGATTCGAATCCACGACATTCCACTAAATACGCCGCTGCGCTACCCACTTGAGCTATCCTGACTTCGATAGTTCGATCCACTTGGGCACCAACTCCCCATATCAACCTACAACCTTTCGACTTTTCTCTCTTTTTGCCATTTTTTGGTGTCGGAGAGGTTCGAAGCCACGATAGCTCAAGTGGTAGAGCAGCGGCGTATTTAGCCAAAGGCCATGTATTCAGATCCCGCTCGTGGCACTAGCTTTTTCATTTCGACCAAAACTTTACAAAAAAGATTAAATAATTGAAAGAAGTAATTTCAATATTTCAATAGAACACTAAATATAATGAATAAATAAGACATTTCATCCATCCTTAGTAGTTCCTCCAATCAGCGGGTTCAAGGGAAAGATCTTTCATCAAATTGATGTGGGTATTACGGCTTCTGTTCAGGAGCCACTTCTTACACCATTTTTTCTTTGATTTTTTGCTTTTAATATGTAAATAAACAGAAGAGTAGCACAAGAGATCGTCATCCACTTTGAGAAGGTAATTCACTGGTTGACATTCGGAGCGACTGGCTGTGGAGCCCCTCAAATTTCAGGCACTCCAAATGGAGCTGTACGGCTTGGCGCGGTTACATTTGGAGTGATCGTGAATGGCCACCTTTACGGGCACGCATAGAGTCATAGTCAAACGAAGCATTTCTTCGAACCTTACTTGCAGCATAAGCTGCCCTGACATCCGAGGCAGCGTTGCTTTTTTCTAGACTAAAGAAAAGTATAGGTAATGCACTACTAATCTGGACATTACTACCAAAACAAAACAAAAACTAGTCAATATATTCAGTCTCGTACAGTCTCTATTCAGTCATGATAAGACTTAATTAGAATTTATTCATGATCATCCAGTAAACAAATTCGGAAACAACACAAAATGAATAATTAAGAATTGGCATCCTGTAGTTTGTCAAACTATATGAATTACTTGTAGGCATTAATTGAAATTTCCCCTCGGATACTCTCCTACTACTAGATCAAGGGCCGATTTGCAAAAGAGGAAGGTTATATTTAAGATTAATTAAGGTTTTCAGTTGAGATAAATAAGTCAATGGCACGAGCGGGATTCGAACCCACGATCATCGGCTTGATACGCCACTGCTCTACCACTTGAGCTATCGTGATCTCGATCCACTAGGACACTAACTTCCCATCTCAACCCCACCTTTTGAATTTTCCCTTCTTTTTGCCATTTTTCAAATTAAAAAGGTGGGGTTGAGATAGGAAGTTAGTGTCCGAATGGATCGAGGTCACGAAGCTCAAGTGGTAGAGCAGCGGCGTATCAAGCCGAAGATCGTGGGTTCGAATCCCGTTCGTGCCATTGACTTTTTTATCTCAACTGAAAACCTTAATTGTAAGATATTAATTGGCCAAGCGGACCACGAAATTAGTGAATTGAATTAGTGAATGTTACTAAATTGCTAAATTGATCCAATATAGACTGTTTTAAAAAAATTGCTGAATTTTTTATGTTGGTAATAAGAGATAAAAGGGTAACCGAGTTTAATACGTTAATTCTATCTAGAAGTAAACTAGCAATATATCGAAACATCCATGCGAAAATTTCAGATGTTAATTTGAATTGAGTAATAGTTTGAACATATGCTCAAGATTATTTGTTTTTGTGAAGTTTGTATTGTTGTATAACGCTAGTTGGTAATTTTTTAGCTACATTGCTTGTACTGCCTTTCGTTTCGATTGTGTTTTGCAATAACACATGGCAACTAAAAAAAAAACTTTAAGTATTGGTTTAAAAATGGCCGAAATGGTATTTCTTGACGTTGTTCAGTTTGACGTGTTCCACGATGTCTCAGCTATATATTATTTTAGTTCCTCAGCGTCATGTTATTTGGATTACACGCGGTGGCCACCATTTGGTGGGGTAGCGTTACCATGGGGAACTGGAAAGTCGTATCCATGATATCGGCGACAGCTATCTGCAGCCCGGTAATACCTTTGATGTTCAGAGTCGAACCGTACCTGTACACTAAACGTGAGGTGTCGAAACCTATCGTACGTAACCGAATTGATTTATTGCCTGTAAACATTCGTAATTCTTGTTTTATTTGTGCAGAATATCTTCATTATTATTTACTGCATGGCGTCGTACATGGCCGGTTCCGTTGTGATTCTTATCGACGCTATTGGATCACGTTCTGAGAACCATTCTAAAGACGTCGCCGTTGGTACAAGCGTCGTTTGTTTCATTCTTGTTTCAGTGTTCGTTTTAGATTTAATTCATACAATCTTAAGAAGGCGTTAAAAATTTCGTCATCAATGAAATACACATACTGGTAATGTTTGCATCGAAAAGTTTTTATTTATGTTCAATTTTAACGTTTAAATGTATATTTACCAAAAATTGGCCCATTTTCTTCAAAATGATCACTTCTTATTTAAAGATACATTCATCAATCACAATTTATTAGCAGTAAGCAATTGTGGAGAAAAAGTTTTCTTTAAAACATTAAAAGAACATAATTCAATTACCATTAATTTATTTAACTACACAATTAGAGTATAACACCTTATTGTATTTTGCGACGTTCTCCAGATATGACATATTACTTAAGAAATTAATTTCTAGTTGGCGGGGAAAAAAAGTTTGACCTATAATGTTCATAGTTCTGGATCTTTAGATGTCACTAAAACAGCTGGGAAGCATGAGGGATCAACTTCAAAGATGTAGGTCAGAAATGTTACAGAAAATTTACTAGTTTTCGTGGTCCGCTAGACCAATTAATATCTTTCAATTAATTAAGATTTTTAGTTGAAATAAAAAATTCAATGTCACGAGCGGGATTCGAACCCACGACCTTCGACTAGATACGCCGCTACTCTACCACCTGAGCAATCGTGACTTCCAACCACTCGGAAAACCAACTTCCCATCTCAACCCCACCTTCGAATTTTCTCTCCTTTTTTGCCATTTTTCAAATGTCGTGTAATCTTTTTAATTCTCGGCCACAATTGAACGACAATTGGCCACGGAGAACTTTAGTGAAGTGTACTTTCGTTTAACTTATTCAATTCACTAGTTTTCGTGGTCCGCTTGACTAATTAATATCTTTCAATTAATTAAGGTTTTTAGTTGAGATAAAAAAGTCAATGTCACTAGCGGGATTCGACCCACGACCTTCGGCAAGATACGCCGCTACTCTACCACCTGAGCTATCGAGTGGATATCTAGCCGAAGGTCGTGGGTTCGAATCCCGCTCGTGACATTGACTTTTTTATCTCAACTAAAAAACCTGAATGAATTGAAAGTTACAGAAAATGGCAATATTGCAAACACTGAATTACCAGAATTATATTTTATCCGAAAAAAGACGATTGCGTGTGCATAATTTAATCTAACGGCATTCCTAGTTCTTATGCTGCGTTTTCTCTCCATTGTAAGAACAAATTAGTACTAATTTTAAAATTATTTTAGTTTTGAATGTTAGCAAAGTCACTTTTTCACTCACAAACACTTTGGATCAATGTATGGCCTTGAACAAAAAAGCAAATTAAGTCGTTTTACAACAAAAAAGCTTTCGACCTGTTTTAAGGTCTTCATCAGAGCCTATATTCTTTTTATGAAAAACAACTGCTAAATTAGTTTTACAAATAACAAGTAATTTAATATAGTTTGTGACCGAATGATGTAGCAAACTAGATTAACATATTTTTAAAACACTTCCACCAAAAACCCTGATAAGAAACCTTCATGGAGAGAGCTTTCAATGCTTGTGCCTTCCAAATGGCTCCGGTTTAAAAAAAAAATGGTGATAACTTAAAGCCGTCTTAACCGGTCCACAGGAAGCTTGCTGAACAGAAGTTTAAATTACTATCAATAAATTGTACGCAAAGGCAGAAGCTTGGCCTTCTTCGATTTTTGTTGATTTCATCTTATTTTTCTCATTCATAATGATACAAAATCTAAACTTTAAAATTCCTTATATCAGGGTTTTTAAAGGAAGAGTGATGAACGAAAATGGTACCAAATTGTTAAACCAGTGTTAATAAGCCCTGAAATCAGGACAACCAAAAAGGGAATAATCATTTCTGGTTAGAATACACATCATTTACCTTGTCAAACGCAAGAGTTTGAAGATAGATATATTTGATGTTTTGCATGAACGGAATTTAGCCCAATCCAATAGATCATCCTTAATTATATTAGCGAGCCAACGGAGGGGAAATAATTGAACTCACAGCGAAATTTGGTAATGACTATGAGGCCTTCTTTATTATTTTTTTAATTGTAAATTTTTCCATAAAATTTTCATGTTATGTTCTGAATTAGTGACATGGAGATAGTTGTTAATGTCTAAAATGATTTTTGTATTTGTGTTATGTCGAAATGGCTGGAACATTTGTGATGCATTGAGGCAAAAGTTGCTAACGGGGCTTTTAAATCGCGACCTTGTCTGTTCTGCACGATGAGCCCGGCAGATTAAACCAGCAGAGGAAAAGGACCATCTGCTTTTGGTAGCTGTCAGATTAAAATACAACGCTTTCGTCATAATAGGAATGGTCACGAGAAACGAAAGGCTTGGCAGGAACTCCTGAGAACTCATAAATTTACCACTGCGGACCCATTAGTTTTTAACGCAAAGCCTTAAGCAAAACGTGTTGCCCAAACGCTCATGTTATCGTATATTTCACATTAAAAAAGGAAAAATAAAATAAAAATCCCTTATCGTTTTGATTCTTCTGAATAGGAAAGTTTATTTAATACTATAACACTTGTAAATGTCAAAATGCACGTGAGAGTACAGTAAAAATAAATTTGCGTCTTGAATGTTTTTTCAATATTTTATGCGCTTGAAGCTTTTTTTTATTATATTATGTATAAATGGTACAAATAATTCCCATTTAGAAGAGAACTCCAAGGCTGAATTCCAACTCAAGTATGGTGCTACAAACGACTGTTTCATATATTTATATTCATATTATTTATTAATTTAAAATTTCATAAAGACAGATTAAATTTTAATTTACTTAATGTGTCAATATAAATTTTATTTAAAAAACATGGATGTAATAAAAAATTTCTCTCGAATATCAGATCGTTATTATGTTTGAAAGAAACATTATAAAAAGCTAGTACAACGAGAATAGGAAAAGCATCGTGCGCAGCGACAAAGCCACACACTAATAGACGTGATTTTAAAACTGGCGCTAAATTGTTCATACAAACCACCATAACCAAAAATTAGGACTAAAACCCAAAGTGAAGGATAGAACGTACTTAATTTAGACAATATCCAGGACTAATGACTCTAATGCACAAAAACGGAAGATCTTCTAGTACAGTCGGAAGTGCAGAACAAAAGGACGTGCGGCGTTCAAATCAAACACCCAGTCTAATCTTTACCAGTGTTGTTCTAGGAAAAGTTTAAGAAGTGCTTAATTAGATTTGAATAAATAAAACTATCCCGTTGACCATAGGCCATACCCGTCTAGACATTTAGGGGGGGGGTTTCCTCACATTTAGAATTATATGTACTATGTGTTCTTTACGTGTATGTTTGTATAGTTAAATGTATATATGTTTTTTGTGAAATTTCTGGTCATTATGTAGAATTTGTAAATATTTCAAATTCTGTTGTGTGATTATTGAGAAGGCCGATGGCGGAAGATTGAGAAGGAGGCCTGAAATGTTGGTACCAAGAGGGAAAAAAAGCAGCTGCTATGAAAACAACACAGCCATCAGCGCACCATATCTAATCACCATGGGGATGATTATGAATTATAAGACAAAACTAAAAAGATTGGTAACACAAAAAACATCTTAACTGTGTTACTGAAGAAAAAGAAATGGGCCAGCAGACACCCTTGCTGGTATTGAAGCTGTAGACAAATCCACAATCCCACTGTTGGGTAAAATCGCACAAGGATCTTCTAACAAGAGGTAAAAGAGAAGGATAAGAGAAAAAGCAGGACAAAACCGGATATTATGGGGGGTACTCAAAACGGTCATAGTTATGGCATTAATTGCCTTGCACTTGTATGGTTGGTCATTGCAGCATTCAACTTAGCAAGTTACTAAGGTCAAACCACGCTCATTCATTCTTAAATACATTCTTTTCTATTATATTGTATACATAGACATTCATATATCCCTACTTGACATTACCTTAATGTCGATATTCCTCCATCACTTTAGAACTAACGTCATTCAGCCGTCCTACGTTACATAAACATATCAATAAATACATTTACTCCCAATACTAGCTAAACAAATAACAATCAAAATTGCCAGTATTAAACAGGGTGTTCAGCTACTCGTGTACAAACTTTGTCAGTAGATTCTACATTCAAAATGGAACCAAAAAGTCCCAATTAATTATCGTCCGAATCTCAGCAGTTTCGGAGTTATTCCCCTTTTTCTGATCTTATAAGATTTCACGACCTTGCATCAAATAAACAATGATTACTCCAAAACTAAAATGTTTTAGACAAATCCACTAATAGCATTGAAAAGTACGTTAAATCCAAGACAAGACAAGTCCAATAAGAATAATTATTCAGAAATCGTGAGATGCGGTCTGGTGTGATCTAGGTTTCAGAAAAACATTTTCTTTATCGTACCAACGTTTCGATCTTTATTGAGATCATCTTCAGGGCCTGGGATTTACAAACGTTGTTTACATTTAACAAATACATTTAGGATGTGGAAAAGTGAATTTATGCAATGCAAAATATATTTTTTACAAATTCAATCACAGTATTTCTACTCACTCAAAGTGTTTGTCTTCTGTGTAATTGTGCCATTCTTGCGTGTCGTGTTGAGGTGCCAGTGAGATTTTGCTGTTTTATGTTTATAGTAATAGTATTAATATAATTATAATAATTAGTTTATATAAACATAAAACAGCAAAATCTCACTGGCACTCTCAACACGACACGCAAGAGTGGCACAATTACACAGAAGACAAATACTTTGAGTGAGTAGAAATACTTTGATTGAATATAAAAATAAAATAAAAATATATATTTCGCATTGTATAAATTCACTTTTTTCCACATCCTACATGTATTTGTTAAATGTAAACAATGTTTGTAAATCCCAGGCCCTGAAGATGATCTCAATAAAGATCGAAACGTTGGCACGATAAAGAAAATGTTTTTTTGAAACCTACATCACACCAGGCCGCATCTCACGATTTCTGAATAATTATCGATTAACGGTCACTAATCACCACACATTTTCAATAAGATGTGATCAATATTAAACTTGTAAACCTTCGTGAAATAAGCGTTTCAGAAACGAGAACTTTGGAAAATATATTTTTTTTAAGTTAAAAAAATTACTATGGTGATTCCAAACTACTATTTCCAAAACTAGTGACCAGCAAATTTCAGAAAACGTACTCCATTTACTCCATCCTTTTTAGTGGTGTAAATTCTTTTTCAATTACTTTTTTCAAAGGTGAAGAAATTGATGGATGTAAGGAAATAACCGTGGCTGACAAATTGGTAAGGTGGAAAATCAAAAAAAAATTTTTTTTTTAATGCATTTATTAATTTTTTTTTAAATTTACGTTCGAGATCGAAATAGTGCAAGTGTTTACTTATTTACTTACACGACAGCAACTTTGATTAAAGGATTATTGTATTATTATTCTCCGGAATAAAAGAGTTTTAAGTTTCAAAACGTTTTTGTTTTCTATGTGATATCTTCCTAACACTATTGCTACTTTTTGAAATAAAGAATACGCTGATATACATCTTATGCAAGGGTTTGGCGGGTTTAATACAACGGCAGCGCGTCGAAAATACGTTGCCGAGGGTGGAAAGCATTTCGACTCAAAATTAAAAAAAAAAAGTTTAATAAATACATTCCAAATTTCCTTAAGTTTTTTTTTTTATTATTAATCGTTCCACCTTACCAATCTTTCAACCATGGTTTTTCCTTTCTTTCTTCAATTTCTTCATCTTTGAAAATGCAATTAAAAAAGCAATTGCACCACTAAAAAGGATATTAAATGGACTACGTTTTCTGAAATTTGCTGATTTCTAGGTTTTGAAATAGTAGATTAAAAAAAAGTGTGGTGTTTAATGACCGTTAATTAATGATTATTTTGAGATCGTGAGATGCGATTTGGGGTGAAGTAGGTTTTAGAAAAAGATTTTCCTTATCGTACCAACGTTTCGATCTTTATTGAAATCATCTTCAGGGCTCAAAGTGTTTATTTTCTGTGTAGATGTGTCATTATTGTGTGTCGTGTTGAGGGCACTCTCAATTGCTAGCGGTTCTAGGTTCGAATCCCGGCATAGCGCGTGGAATTTCAATTGAGAATATGATGAAGAAAGTATTGTGAAGTGGATTTCACCCTCTTCGGTGACACACAAAGGTCACCCTATAAATTAAATGACAGGAATTATTTTATTTCAATATGTTACGAATCTTGTCCTAAGAAATGAAGGAGAATTTTTTCTTCGTAGAACGAAACAAACTGCAAAATTTGTTTTAACATAAATTTCTTTATGTTTGAATGTATTTTAATTTAAGGCATTTCAGATTTTCCAAACTGCTACCATATTCAAGGATTTTAGGTTTTCTGCCATAAAACACATGTTTACATTTTTCACGTGATTAGTATTATGGTTAGTTTAAACTCATATTAGTGTTTGTAGATTTTTTTCTCTTTGGTTGTATTTTTAAAAGTAGCTTGTTAAAATGGAATGGCAGAAAATGACTTGGTTGAAAATGTTGGAAATGGTGTATATCTTCGGTTTGTAAGTTTCAATCACTCCAATTGAAGATTATAATTAAACGTGTTTTAGTTCCTCGCTGTCATGATTTTCGGGATGCACTCCGTGTCGGCACTTTGGTGGGGTATCAAAAAGACTAATATATGGAGAATTAGAAACGTCTTGATGGCGACGAGTTTTTGCAGCCCTCTGATACCGCTGATGTTTAGATCTGAACCTTACTTTTACACAGCGCAGGAGATAGTCAAACCTACCGTAGGTTCTACTTATGCTGTTACCTGTGTCAAAAGCCTTTAATTAACTCATATTTTAACAGAACGTCTTCATTATAATTTACTGTCTGCTTTCGTACATAAGTGGCTCCGTTTTGGTCTTCCTTGACTCTATTCAGGCATCGACCAGGTCAAATTCCAGAGATGTCTCCATTTGCTCAGTCATTTTTGCCAGTGTGCTTTCTATATGCTTCTGCGCAGACCTTATTTTAACCATAAAAAAATAAAATACATTTGTTTAAAGGACTATCTTATTTGGGTGTATACAAATAAACATTTTACGTGCACAGTTTTTGTTTTGTACCATTATTTATTCACTATCATTACTTTCCATTTGTTACTTTACACGATAAAAAGCAAAATTTTCAGTAGTTCACTTATTAACTGTCAGTGTGGATGATTATCATCTACAAATTTTGTGTGATAAAACGAGTATATATAGTATATTACGTTAGTCATAATTTTAAGTTCTTCATAGATCCGGTTTCGATGAAATTTTAACTCCGACTGCAGGTTCGTGTAAAACAACCGTTAAACCTAAATGTTTGACTTTACAAAAAAAATAATCCTTTTTTATTCCGCACTTTAAAGTATATTTATTCAAGAGAAATGAAAATTTTAGAAAGTGAAGTTGTATCTGATAGTGACAGTGAAGCCAGTAAGTAGAACAATTTTGGGATCGTCATCTCAGAAAGAAAAATTGGCCAATGGATCCATTGAATCTGAAGATGTGCGAGGCATTCAAAGGTGGAGAGGGTCATCATCCAGCAGGACAATCAGCCAGGTAATACCTAACATGGCAGACCGAATCGAAGACCCTAAATTCCCTGATTGATTCATCTAATCTCTCATGGTTTCAGTTACCTCATTGTCACAGCTAACATTTCAATAAGAGTAAAAAAACAAGAAGAAAGGATGGGGTTGGAAATAGGAGGAATGGCCTGCCGAGTATGAAAGTTGAAAGTAATCTTTATATAAGATATATGTTGCAATGAAAAAGTTATTGTCGAGAGCTGGATTCGAACCCACGACCTTCGACTAAATACGCCGCTACTCTACCACTTGAGCTATCATGACTTCGATCCAGTCGGACACCAACTTCCCACTTCAACTTACTATTCGAATTTTCCTCCTTTTTGCCATTTTTAATTGTTGAGGGTTGAAAGTAATATTGATTCTTTCTCCATTTACAGTAGGACTTGTTCATTAAAATTGATGACAAAACAGATGAACCAAACAAACTCTTGTTCACAACAATCTTCCTATTTTTTTGCTAGTAGATATACTAATACGCCTTCCAAAGATTGCAAACTTTAATTTCCTGTTGAGTTTGCATTCCGTTTAATTTCCTCCCAATTATAAAATTGACGCAAATATCTTTCATCCACAAAAGCAAGTATGGATTCGTTTTCTATCTTTGGTCAAATCTAAAACTCTCGTCCGCAGTGAAGCACAAAAACATGCTTTTTCATACTTAAATGATCATTATCTGTCATAAAACTGTATTCTCACCTTTTTCTCAATTTTACGCGTTTTACACGAACCCTTAATATTTAAATCCTTGTTATGTGTCCATATGTTCTTACTAATCATCGCTTTTACTGATTTGACAACAGCTGAAGTTCTTCAAGAACTTCCCCAAAAAGCAGTCGTCTTTCTGACTTCTTTGTTTAACGCAATTTTGAGGATTACACACTTTCCCATTCAATGGGAACTTTCTTACATTAAAATGATCCCAAAGGCCCATAAAAATTTAAGCTCCCCATCATCCTATCGTCCTATTAGTTTGTTACCCGTTCTTTCTAAATTATTCGACAAATTAATTTAGAAAAGAATTATCTCTATTGAACTATAGAACTCTAGAACATCTTACCAGACCATCAATTTGGCTTTCGAACCCATCATTCCACCTCTCATCAACTTCACAGGGTGACAGATTTCATTACTTCATGTCTCGAGCAGAAACTGTACGCGATGTTTCTCAGGCCTTCGACAAAATATGGCATGAGGGATTATTATACAAATCAAAATTATTTTTACCCTAGGCCTATTATCTGACTATACAATCGTACGATAAATAGAGATTTTTTGCAGTAAACTAGGGTACGGAAACTTCTGGGATGGAAGAAGTGCTTGCAGGTGTGCCACAAGAGTCAATACTCGCTCCGCTGTTGTACACGATTTTTACTTCTGATATGCCCACAAATTACCGCCATATTAACAAGTCAACTTTCTTCTACACAAGCTTCACTCATGTTACAAAACCCAATATCATCAAGTGTTGAAAAATGGAGCAATATTTGGAAAATAAAGTTTAATCCCTCAATGTCACATCACCTTTACACTCCGTCGTAGGAGTTGTCCTTGCACATGCAATGGACCTGTTCCTCAGTCCGACAAAGTTAACTATTTAGGACTTACATTTGATAGAAGACTAAGTTGGAATCCACACACAAGATTACAAAAAGAGAAACTCAACAAACGATTTAAAATACTTTATTACATACTCAACAGACAATTAAAACTTCCATTAAAATCAAAACTTTCGACATACACATACCTACTCAAACCTATTTGGATGTACGGGTTAATGGATCTGCCAAATATTTCATTATTCAAAGATTACAAAGTTTTCAATCCAAAATTTTAAGACTAATTGTTTCTGCCCCTTTTTATGTAAACAATAACACACTTGACAGAGATCTTCAAATCCCAACAGTTTTTTCATCCATCAAAACATATTATAGACGTTTTTATAGTGAATTACAAAATCACACTAACACAAATACGATTACTCCATTCTTCACAATTACCTCGTAAACGTCTGAAAAGAATATGGATAAGAGACCTCTTAAATGAATATTTCATTAATCCAGAGCGGCTACCAATGTGTAGTTTTCCCTATAAAGCCTGTAATGCCACGAACACGAATTACCCAATCTGCTGATTGTATAAGATATATGTACAGTTGTAGATACAAATAAATGAGGTAAAAAAAAAACTTTCATAATACAACATTGCAATTTAGTATGAAAGGTTAATAAAAAAAAGGAAAGAAAAATACGATATCAGAATAGAAACATCTGATCAAATAAAATATAAGTTATTATCGCACTAGCTGATTTTCTATGTTGCGTTGTATTAGATTCAGTTTGAAATAAATATTAAGGATGAAGTGGGAGTTGAATACGTGGTTAAAAATGTCAGAAATGGTAAATTGCGATTTATAAAGTGTTACACTTTATCTAATGTTATATTTTAGTTTCTTAGTGTCACAATATTTGGTCTGCACTCAATGGCTGCAGTCTGGTGGAGTAGCACTAGTCCTTTCGGTTGGAAAATCATGTCGGTGTTGACAACGTCCTGTTTATGCGGACCTATAATACCTCAGATGTTCAGGAACGGGGCATATTTTTACACTTCGCACGATATAGTGAAACCAATTGTAAGTTGTTGCGTTTATCTACTGCCACGAACCGACTAAGCCGAAAAAGTTTGTGTTTCAACAGAACGTCTTCATTGTTATTTACTGCTTTGTGTCGTACTTCGCCGGTTGTGGCCTGGTGGCAATAGAAACCATTATAACAAAAGAAAGATTCATTTCAAGAAATGTAGATGTCGTTTCAATCATTTTCTCCGCTATACTTACTGTATTATTTTTGGTTGATCTTATTTCTACATTAAAAAAACGTAATGACGATGATGAAGATGATGATGGCGAATAAAAATATATTTCCGATTTATACTTTTTGGTTTGAATCTAACCTGAACCATATTCAACAGTTCTATACGTAATTAATCAACAGAAACAATTTAAATATTTATTTTTTTAAACCCTCAGGGTGCCGGTGTTTTTGAAAAGAAAAAAAACCGATGCACCTTTTGATGTTCGGAGTCAAATGCTTACAGATCTGGACATCCCTGAAATCATAATTACATAAATCTTCCGAATAATACGGACGAATATACATCCATCTAGACATCTCCGATCGCTCAAAAGACATCTGACACATTCCCTTACGTACTCAAAAGCATTCTTCCTCCAATGACCGAAATCCTTGAAAGACTACTTTTAAAGCGCTTAATTCCCACCTAAGACAGTCATAAATCATTTCTCTCACCCATTGGGTTGTCTTCCTCATCATTACGATCCAACAAGGCTTCAGAGTTGTCGGAACAATTTCCTCTGCTCTATAGAATAAATAGTGTTGATTGAGTGCGTTCCTAGATGTGTAGGCTTTGATAGGGTCTAGCACCGAGGTATGTTTACAAACTTACTCTTCCTGTTCGGGCGCGTCTACGTCACCGAAGCGCCCGATTTGCGGCGTAGATTGTACCCCAGTATCTACAACCCCTATCTTCTAGAAATCCACCAATCGTATTACACTTCCCTCCTTTTTCCTCAAAAACTCATCCCTTCCAGCCCTCTCGGGCTCTCTTCTCCACCAGCTCTCGGAGCGAGCACACGTCCTATCGCCCTATCCCGCTAAAGTGTTGCGCCCTAGTTCACCTCCGGGTAAGATCGCCGCTTCTTAAAGTTTTCCTCGCCACGCGAATCCCCACGGATTCTCCCGCAAATCGCCATAAGATCTTCACCTCCACGTGCATTTCACAACCGCAAACCTATCATCGCCATTTTCCCTTAATATATCATCTCCTTCTTCCATCTACAATCATTATAATCCCGCGAACGAAACATCCTTTCACTATCCCGCGAAGACTCCATCATCTCACTGGCTGCTACCTGGTTTGCATCGTTTCATTCTCCCGCTACTGGATTGCATCATCCAGCAGCATCATCAACGACGCTGCAGGAACCAGGTCGGTATACCGGCCTAATCATCGCCGAACAACGCACGATATCGCATTCAGGAGATATTCACCGCTGGAAACAAAAAAAAACACATTTATTCCAACGGAAACTAAAATATTAAACATAGACTAATCTTAATTCTCTACGGGTAACATTTTAATAAACTTACACACTAAAGGAACCTAAATTATCATAAAATCTAAATAAACATTCCTTAAANGTGGTCTGTGACCATGAGTAAACCGTTGGCTGAGGTCCGGGGGCCGTGAGTCGGTTGACTCCACAGTGGCCGAAGGTATTGGAGTACAGCAATTAGCCGAGGGTAGCAGTTGGCGTTTACGGCCAAGTCGGCTGTTTAGAAAGCGAGATCAGGGTAATGCTGCGAGTACTTGCTGTCGTCAGCGGTGTTCCTTAGTGACGGCTCGTCGGGTTGACGAGTCTAGTGTAGCCGATTATTAGTAATTGGTGAGATCTCGTCGGGTCGACGAGTCTCCCCCAGCGAGGCAGTGCCCCGCTTATATAGGGAAGAGCTCTACTCTGATTGGCTGCATAGTGGAGGGCGAGAACATTCCATAAGTCGTAGTGGCATCTAGCGGTAACGTGTGGTAGCTACAAGTGGCCACTACAAACACCAAAGGGTAACCGATGTCCATTCAAATACTTAGGACTATACGACGACCTCCAGGACCAAAATCCGTCTTGACCGTCATCATTAAACCTACAGACTTTACTGCGACCACTTTTAACTTACGGAGTGGAAGTGTACCGTTCAGCCAACCCGTCCAATCCTTTCATTCCAAAGTCTTTAGTTAAATCATCTAAGTTCTTTACTACGTCACTGGACTCACCTCTTTCACTATCCACCTCAACATTCCTTTTGTCAACGAACTGATCTCTTTCCAATTCCGAAAGTTTCAAGCCAACCTATCACTCCATCCGAATCCTACTGCTCGAACCATTTTTACACATTCACATCACGAGAATCCGCCAGCTCGCCTAATGTGACGATGGGTCGAGACCTTCTAACCACTCTGATCTCTCAGAGTGCCAGCATTGGCTGGTTTCTCACGGCATTTTTCTTCCGGGTGCTGGACCAGCATTAATATTAGGGCTTAGACGAGTGTCTTATAAAGTTAAAACTAAATACATTAAAAAGACAAAAGGTGATTTTTATATTTATCGCTTTTTGTAAGTAAACATGTGCTTCTGCTTTCTATCGATTTAATTTTTGTGTTATTACACATTTAATTTTTATACGATGTGAACTCGATTTTTCATTGTAAGATAAAGATGATTAAGTGGAAGATAGAAGATTGGTTAAAAATGTTGGAAATGGTAAATCGTGTATCGTCGGTTTGAAATCCACAGTTAACATTTTCGTCGTTCATCATACCCACCTTGATATTTTAGCTCCTCGGCATCATGATATTCGGATTGCATTCGGTGGCTAGTGCATGGTGGCGTCCTTTCGACGGGAAGGTCATCCCACTAATGAAATCGACCGGCTTATGCAGCCCTTTAATCCCACAGATGTTCAGAACCGGGTCGTACTTCTACAGATCGGAGGAATTAGTGAAACCAGTAGTAAGTTTTTTCCTTCAACTATGGTCGCAACAATCCATTTTGTTTCAACTTTTCAACAGAACCTATTCGTCATGGCTTACTGCTTCGTGTCATATTTTGCTGGTTGCCTTCTACTCATCTCTGAAGCAATTAGCTCAAGTAGCAGGATAGTTTCCAAAAATGTCGACTTGTTTACAGCCTTTGTTGCTGCAGTCCTTGCTCTACTTTACTTTGTAGATGTGGTCCTTGCTGTAAAAGAATAAACTTGTCATTAAACATTAAAATACAGTTATTTCTTTTTTATCATATTGTCAATTATAATTGCCATATTTGGAAAATTAGTATACTTCCCAATAAGTGAACATACGTTTTTTTTATCAAATCAAAAATCTACAAGATAACGACATCGCTATTATTATTTTATTAAAAAAATCATTACAACCATTTTTAATCAATTCTATTCTAACTTCAGCTAGATTAAACTTTTTTAAATTGTAGTCTTTTTGATAAAAGCCGTTGTCAGTTGAATAAGGGCCATACTATACTTTTTTATAGTAGGTTATATATTTACATTTTGTTTATACCAATAGAGAAAGTTTACATTAATTTAAACCACGATAGAGATCCGTAAGATGACATTTCAGAAATAAAAATCCTACGGATATATTTTCCAAATAGTATTTACAGAAAACAAAATTTAAACAAATTATGACAAATGAAATAATACTAATTAAAGCGTAACTGTTAACAAAGTAAGTCAAGAAACACAACTTTTCATGATTGTGATTTTAAAGTTTAGATATTTGCTATAAATTAAGTTTTTATAATATTTTTTCTATTGTGCACAGATTTCATCATGTTCAAAGTAGTTGTCCTAATCAATAGGATTTTTAATTTACTTAGTTACATCTCGACTTTTTATAATATATTATATATATCTAAATCCTCAGAGGCCTATATGCTGATACTTCTGCACGGGTTTGGGGTAAAAATGGACTCTCAAACAGCTTCGCAATAGAAACAGGCGTGAAACAAGGTTGCGTTTTAAGCCCCCTGCTGTTTGCCATGTTTATAAATGATCTTGAAGATAGCTTGGAGGGCGGAATCAACATCTTAGGTAAACGCATAACGCTCTTAGCATATGCAGATGATATTGTGCTATTAGCCTCGGATAAACGTACCTTACAAAAAATGATAAACCAATTAGAAAAATATTGCAACCTGTGGAACCTGTCAGTAAANATTGTTACTGGAAGCCATTTTGAAGGAAGGCTTTAGATTGAAATTTTCCAAGTGTAACTTCGCACGAGACTCGGTGAAGTATTTAGGCCATATAATCAAAAATAATACAGTTAGTCCTTTGAAGGATAATTTAATTGCTATAAAAGATTTCCCAACTCCAAAAACACAAAAGAATGTGCGTCAGCTCTTAGGGAAGATAAATTTTTATGGCAAATACGTACCAAATATATAAACTATTATATCCGTATTAGATCCATTACATAATTTGTTGAGAAAAGGACAGAAATTTATTTGGTCAGAAAAATGTCAAGAATCTTTTGAAACAATAAAAAAATTGCTTTGCTCAATACCGATTTTAACAATCTTTGATCCAGACCTACCAACACACAGATGCTAGTATACAAGGTATAGGAGCTGTCTTAAAACAACCACAAAAACAGAAAAATGGAGAAGAAAAACCTTGCGCGTATTTTTCAAAAAAATTTAATGACACTCAGAATAGGAAGAAAGCCATATACCTGGAGTGTCTAGTAATAAAAGAGGCAGTAAAATATTGGTAGCATTGGCTCATGGGGAAAAGATTCATAGTTTTTTCTGATCATAAACCACTAGAAAAAATGAATATAAAGGCTAGAACAGATGAAGAGCTAGGAGACTTAACGTATTATCTATCTCAATTTGATTTCGAAGTGATATACTCGGAGATATAAAAGAAAGTCGACGTTACATATTAACGTCATACTTTTTTTAAGCACATTTATATTTGTTCAAACTAATTTTGAAATTTCCCGCGCACTACCTCGACTCGATTGTTAAGAGGGAGGTTAACCTGTAGAGTAGATAACAAGTTAGGAGGGCATTGTTAAAGTGTTGAAAATCTAATACAAATAATAGCTCTAATTGTCGTTTAAAAGACCATATAGGTGTACTATTGAAGATAAAAAAGAAATAGAACAACAGGTATCGAAATTATTGCAAAAAAATTTAATTGAAGAGTCATGTAGTACATTTGCTGCACTGGTAACGTTGGCCTACAAAAAAGAAGAAGGAAAAAAATCAAGATTATTTATCGACTTTCGCGATTTAAATAAAATTATACTAACACAATCACAACCTTTCCCATTAATAGAGGATTTAATGGTGAAAACGAGAGGATGTAAATTTTTTTTTAACCATAGACATAAACTAAGCATTCTGGTCAATTCCCTTAAGAATTGAAGATAAGAAAAAACAGCATTTGTTACTCAAGAAGGACATTTTCAGTGGACTTGTTTACCATTTGGTTTAAAAACATCACCAGCAATTTTTCAGAGAATACTAAGTAGTATTATAAGAAAACTTAAATTATCAGATTTTACCGTGAATTAGATAGACGACATTTTAATTTTTTTCTAAAACATTCACAGAACACATTGACCACTTATCATTGTTACTGGAAGCCATTTTGAAGGAAGGCTTTAGATTGAAATTTTCCAAGTGTAACTTCGCACGAGACTCGGTGAAGTATTTAGGCCATATAATCAAAANACTAATTATATATATATATATATATAATTAGAATATATCAATGCATTATACTCTGACACTTATCTGCTTTTCGTATTTACATAAGGTGACATTTATCATACAAAAACTTATACAGTTATTCACATATACCATGATTTGGATAAGTTAAGTTAAGTGATATTAAAAAACTACTAAATTTTACAAGTGAGATAACAGCTCTAATTCACTTGTCACCAGAGAATCAAATGGTGATACGAATAGAAAAAATCCTACCTCGTTGTCACACCTACGTAAATATTCATTATGGCAAGTAGTGAATTGAATAAGTTAAAATGAAGTATATCTTCACTAAAGCTCTCCGTGGCCATTTCATTTGTCGCCGAGAATCAAATAGATTACAAGACATTTGAAAAATGGCAAAAAGGAGAGAAAATTCAAAAGGTGGGGTTGAGATGGAAAGTTAGTGCCTGAGTGGATCGATGTCACGATAGCTCAAGTGGTAGAGTAGCGTCGTATCTAGCCGAAGGTCGTGGGTTCCAATCCTGCTCGTGACACTGACTTTTTTATCTCAACTAAAAACCTTAATTAATTGAGTTATATATTATATTATTTTGTATCAGAAAACGTCATTTTTATGATAATAAACTTGTTGGGAGAAATGGCAGGAAAGGTGGTTTTATCTTTGTCATTTTGCGTACTATCAAGTATAAATTTGAATTATAATTTTTGTGTACTAGAATACGACCAGTATGTGGGTCCTTCTTCCTACTAAACATAATTTTTTTTCCAACTCTGACAATTATTTATTTATTTAGGATAAAATTAACTATTTTATAAACAGTATTCTCTATTCGCTTTTAGATAGTTAATATGTTTTTTCTAAAATATTTACTTTTATTGCAAAATTAACAAAGATTTATGTTATACTGACGCCATTTCATAAATGATAAGCTAATAAAATCGTTCCAACAAGATAATTTTCAATTCTCCAGCTTTTGTGAAGTGATTAAGATCATTTGATTTAAATTAACTAAAAATTGAAAAATATTCTACTCTATAATATGTTCAGATTTAAACATTAATATACGGATTACCGATGGTTCCCGTCTTACAGTTTCTATCTTAGGATTTCAACAAGGCTGCTTGATCCTTCTGTTGTGAAATCGGGGACAGAAGGAGGATGACAACACGTTTTACCATTTTTTGGTTGGATATTGCAAAACAAAAAAAATAGGAAAAAAGGTCGGTGACCCGTTAATATCAAAAAGGAAAATTTTAAAATCAAAAACTTAATTTATTGAGATTGTAACTAGAAATTGGTAATTAGGGTTGGTATCATGATGGTCCTTAGTATGTCCTTGTGTGTCCTTCCGGGGCTTTGGGGAGATGGTCTCCTTCGGCGTGGAATCCGGTCTCATCTGCGTACCAGTTGGTGGTAACTGGGGTGCCGTCGGGGGCGGTGTAGGTGTAAGAACCCTGAACGACTTGTGCGGTTTCTTCTGGTCCGAGGGCTTTCAACGAGCCGCTGGCCTGGACAGAGACTCCATCTTCGGATTGGAATCTGCGAATACATTCAGTCATTAAAGATGTATCGATGGTCAATGCGAATCGTGTTTTACCCGTATGTGAAGGATCCGTCGTGGCTAACGTCCTGGTATTGGCTGAGGACGGCGACGGGTTTGACGACGGATGTCCTTACACTGGGAGCTGAGTAGCTCACAGGGGCAGCTACTGGGACGTGGTACTGCTTAACTGCCAATTGCTGGACAGGTACGGAGTAGTGGCTGACGACAGGGGCGCCGAGGACCTGTTGGTACTGCACTTGTCCAAGGGACGGTTGGTAGAATGTCTGTCCACCGACCAGTTGCAAATTTCTTGCTTGGCCGCCGCGGTTTACCTGTTGGCTTTGGCGGGCCGCTTTTGGCAATTGGGCCATGCAGCACCCGAAAAGAGCAACCAATACAATCTGGAAAAATGAGAATTGTTAAAATTTTAACGTTCTAGTATCATGTATTTTTTTAAATCTATTCATTTCGTAACTTTGGCTTAATTTCCTTTCTTTTTTATTTTTTAAAACATGTCAATATCTTAAACCAACCAATAATTATGGCGAAATACCGAAATGATTCTGACTAAACAAACGGACGAGGAGGGCAGACCTGGATGTCCGAACACTACTAAACCACAAAACCACCATTTGTTTGTAAGTTTTGTTCCATTTGATGGAGCAATATTGTAAATCGTAATATAATACATATTACAGTTTATTATTTTTTTAAAATAGGAAATCTGTCGTCATTACGTTAATTATAACTTATAGATGCGTTACAAAATCTCTGAATCAGACGAAAAATTGGCAATTAAATTGAACACGCGTACGAGAAAATGTTGCATACTAACATTTCATTATTTTCTTAGGAACGAAATAAACAATCGTTAAATGGTCTCATCACAAAAAATAAGCTCTTCTTCATTATCTTTATAAAATGAAATATTTATTTTTTATATGAAATTATTTCAAAATATGATGACGTCTAAATTTTAAATTTTTAATTGAGCGTATTCGTCAAACGATTTGCAAGCAAACGTTTCAGTGTAATTATCAACTATTAAAAATTTAATATATATTGAAAGTGAACACATTTGATGAGTATAAAGAAAGAAATGACGGAAAATAAAGTAAATACAACATAACAAAAAATCCGCTGTAACTGGACGGTTTTGAAACTAAGATTTCACCATATGTTGATATTTGTGATGATGAAATATCAACTAAATAATAACTGAACGTAAACTCTGACATTTCTTGTTACGCTTAAATGACACATGTAAATGTTAAAGCATCACTTACAGCAGTCTTCATTGTTGACCGGAGAAGAGATGAGTTCTGGATGATCTGGTCTGGTGATCCTGGTATATATACATATGTCTCCGTGTGTGTGTATGTTACAGATCATGAGGGTTGGTTTTGACAGAAGTGGGGGAAAGGCGACACGAGGGTGAACTCCAAGGGCAGACGAGTCCCCTCTCCGGTACAACGTGTCCGGGATGGTTTGGCACATATCATCCGTTTGTTGTTTTTTCCTTACCGCAACATTTCCCGTTCTATCGGAGATTAATGCAATAAATAATCGGGGAGTATAAGGTATCATTCCTTTCCAAAAGGAAACGTTTTATTATGATATTTTACAAAGTAGTCAAAGGTCTATGAAAAAGTACACAGGTGTTTTTCTATTTATATTTATAATAGTAACTATGAATCAAAATATCTAATATGTAATTGAGTAAAATAATACTTAAATTTTTATGTTGCTACATCTACAAAGCAAACCTAATTGTAAAAGAGTAACAAACAATTAGATTCACGAAAAAAATTACCCAAAATTTTATGCGACACAATATTTTTGATTTATTATAATACATATAACAACTTTCAAATTGGAGCGCGAGTGCACCAGAATTCGCTTGATGCGCGGCGGCTCCGGCGGACGAGGAACGCGTGGCGTCCTGACAAGTTGCTTCTCGCCTTTGCGGTTCTGGGTTTTCGCATTTTTCCCCGGGGACGACAAAATATATATATTTCTGGATTCTACGGCCTTTTTTCTGGACAGAGATCTTTCTGGCACATCGGACTTGGCAACCGGCTTCGATTGAGTTCGACAGCTATTTACCTTCGACTTTCATCGAGCTGCATTGCCAGGGTAATCCCTTGTCCCAAGAACATTTTATTTTATTATTTTATTTCTGTCAATTGATTTTCTTTATTATTGCTGGCTCAATGTCATTAATTTTAATTGAAGAAAAGTATTGGTTGAGTGTTTTAATTTTTTAATTTTTAAAAAAGGTTTTAATCGGTATTATTCATTTTAAATATAGAAAAGTTATTAATTTTGTATTATTTATTTTTAATTTAAAAAAAGGAATTTATTCAGCATTATTCATTTTTATTTTCAAAAAAATAGAAAAAAGGTGTTTATTTGTATTTTTTTTGCTGTGGTTTATTTTTTATTTCTTCTCACAAGGTCTAAAACAACTGTCCGGATCCCACCATTCAATTATATACATTATACATTATAATTGAATGAAATATAAAACATGGAAATATGTATTTTCTAAATATTTCTGTTGTAACTATGTAATATGGAAAATGTTTTTGTTGGACAATAAATATATTTATTATGTAAAAAAGTAAAAATATCATTTTTCAGTAAAATTAATAATCCGTTATATTTCGTGATCCGATTGACCAAATAACATCTTTCAATTAATTAATCTTGATATAAGGTATTGGTTGAAATGAAAAAGTCAGTGTCACGAGCGGGATTCGAACCCATGACCGACTAAATACGCTGCTGCTCTACCACGTGAGCTATCGTGACTTCCACACTGACTTTTTCATTTCAACCAATACTTAACATAAAGATTAATTAGTTGAAAGAAGTTTCTTGGTCAATCGGATAATGGATTTAATAAATAAAACGAAGTATATCTTCACCAAAGCTCTCCCTGGCAATTTCATTTGTCGCCGAGAATGGAATTCCGATTACACGACATTTCAAAAATGTCAAAAAGGAGGGGAAATTCGAAAGGTGGGTTGTGATGGGAAGTTGGTGTCCAAGTGGATCGAAGTCACGATAGCTCAAGTGGTAGAGCAGCGACGTGTTTAGCCGAAGTTCGAGGGTTCGAATCCCGCTGGTCACACTGACTTTTTCATTTCAACCAATACCTTACATAAAGAAAAATTAATAATTTTTTCAACCAATATAATAATCGTTTCATTCAATCTAACAGTCGTCTCAACCAATTTAATATTCGCTTTAAAATCGTATAATTATTTGAGTAAAATTACTTAATCAAAAAATAAAATTATTTGGAAAAGGCAAATATTAGCGTTCATTGAGTGGCAGTCCTGCGGCAACCGTTGGCAGCTTCAAAAGGGGACATACATCACGTAATTGGTGCAGTCGGAGCCCGAAATGGAGTGATGTAGGTTTCAGAAAAAAACATTTTCTTTATCCTGCCAACGTTTCGATCTTTCGATCATCTTCAGGGCTCGAAGTGTTTGTCTTCTGTGTAATTGCGCCATTCTTGCGTGTCGTGTCGAGAGTGCCCACTAATCACCACACACTTATTATTTCAAGTCGTAAGTTCCTTTGGCTTCAGGTATCTTGGAGATCGCATACTCCGCAGAGTTTAGAGTTGGCGAGTCGAGCTGCAGGAAAGGAATAAAATGAGAAAATGATTTCGCCACTTTAACTTATATGCAGTTTTATGGATCCTGGCATTGCCCATAACTACACTACCCTACAGGGATACCTTCCTTGTGAGCCCAGGCAAAGTCCGACCATCAACTCTGGTGCCTGGTGATAACCAATGATGGAGGCAATTTTCCCCTTACCTTCCTGTACCCTATCCTCTTCTTATTTTCCATCCTTATCCCCCTCTGCTTTGGCAAAGGCTTCCTGAGTTACTGAACTCGCACCCTTCAGGCAACAGGTGCACCAGTAGGGGGTTCATATGAACTTCCGAGTGGGCGATCAGTCCCGCCTTAAAAATAACACTGAACCACGAGAGTAGATTATCCAAGCGACTATATTAATTGAGGTTGTACTCGTGGTGGTCGTGGATTGCGAACAAATACCTCAGCTCGAGGGTACCGGCCAACCGGAGCCGGAGAGAATGACTTCTCTATCTCTCCGGGGGTGGTGAAAGGAACGCTTGAAACGCTGTGCCTGGAACAACAAAACTGCCATTTTCAGAGCACATGTATGGATGTGCTCTTTTTAGAGAACTTCTGAACTTGGTTAGCAGTGCACCACTTCGCTAGCCAAGGGATGTGACAAGTCCATGCATGTAAAATCTTCCTGGTGTTCTCCTTGAGAACACCGGTCGTGTGAGAAGTCCCCTCGGGGATAAGTCCGGACGTTAAAGATCCTCATGGGTCTCAATATTCATGAGTAAAGATGGGAACATCTGTCCATAACTACAAAAGCGTTACATAAAGAAACCTCATCGTTTGTTCACAGCTCACGTAATAAATCGCAAAAAGTGAGATATTACCTGTTATCATTTTTCATATACTCATATTTTTGGATATATCGACCAATTTTTTCCTCACGAGTAATCAGAATCTCGTTTTGGTCTAGATAAAAAACAAGGCAAGATATAACAGCCTTTGGCATTAATGGGACTGTGTCGGTCTTCCAAAGAACTTGAAACCATCTATAAAAAGTTGATTATACCTTGATTATGTCAATTTGTAGATATTGCTAAGATTGTTTGACCCTCGTGATGACTTAGGTCGAAAGCTTGGCATATAACAATCTTTTTTGTTGATTTTCATCCAGACTACCGAAATACAGATTGTTGGTAATACGAGCTAGCATTAAAAAAATACTAAAATTTGAGAGAAGAATGACATACAAAATTGAATAAATTATTTATATATTAAATTATAAATCAGGGATAAGGCCAATTAAAAAGATAATACTGTTCATTAGTCGAGCTATTGAAAAATATATCGCCTTTTACGTATTTTACGGTATGCCAATAACAAATGTATACAATGAAAGTATAAAGTTTATAACTGTATACAAATTTAGAAATATTTACTATAAAAAACATAAACAATTCAAAATGAATTGAAACATTTTGAAATATGTATTAAATCTATATAAATAATATTAACGGTATAATATTTAATTTTCGAATGATAAAATCTGCTTAATTTTTAAAAAAATTACATTAAATAAATCTATTTTTCCCAGGGAGTTTAGATATTATGGTGTACCTATGTATTCTCCGATCGTTCTGTGATGCATCAGAAGCAAAAATCTTTTTTGACTGCTTCTACGCAGCTGATATGTGTGACTGAATGGGGGATTGAAATCAAGGGAGGAAGAATCCGAAAGAGGGGAACAGAAATCTAATATTAGTATTACAATTAATTAAGGTTAATTAAGTTGAGATAAAAAAAGTCAGTGTAACCAGCGGGATTCGAACCCACGACCTTCGGCTGGATACGCCGCTACTCTACCACTTGAGCTATCGTGTCTTCGATCCATTCGGACACTAACTTTCCATCTCAACCCCATCTTTTGAATTTTCCCTCCTTTTTGCCATTTTTCAAATGTCGTGTAATCGGATTGGAAAAAAATTGTGTACTCTGTATATATTTATTTAGAAATCGTGAGATGCGGTCTGACATCAGTCTGCTTGATTAATAAATTTGTAATAAAGTATCAAGAAATAATAATTTGGAAAACCAGTTACAAACAGTAAAGAACAGCAGTAAAAGGAGCTAAGAACAATGTAAACATAGCTAACAGCTGCATTGAGTCATATTTAAAGCCCCAGAATCCTATGATGCTTGAGAAAGATATTTTCTTGAAAACTAGAAAAGATAAAAATACTAAGGAAAGATGTAAGGAAAGGTAACTATATGATTCTTTACCTAGATTCTGCTTACATGAAGAATGCTACAAATAAAATATGTATTTAAAAAACTAAAAGAGTCAAAAAGCGTAAAAGTCGTAAAAATGTAGGGAGTACATGAGTAAAAACATGGACGAAGAAATTTAAATCAATCTATTTAAATGTATTACAAAAATGTGTTTCTCTTACTGCACTGCAGGGCAAAAAATGTCGCCACCTTTAATATTGATTATTTAGAGACTGTTAGATGCGGTCTGATGTGATGTAGGTTTCAGAAAAATATTTTCTTTATCGTGCCAACGTTTCGATCTTTATTGAGATCATCTTCAGGGCCTGGGATTTACAAACATTATTTACATTTAACAAATACATTTAGGATGTGTAAAAGTGAATTTATACAATGCAAAATATATATTTATTTTTTTATATTGTATATATTCAAGCAAAATTACACAAAAGAAAAAGACTTTGAGTGAGTAGAAATACTTTGATTGAATATAGAAAAATATATTTTGCATTGTATAAATTCACTTTTACACATCCTAAATGTAATTGTTATATGTAAACAATTTTTGTAAATCCCAGGCCCTGAAGATGATCTCAATAAAGATCGAAACGTTGGCACGATAAAGAAAATGTTTTTCTGAAACCTACATGACACCAGACCGCATCTCACGATTTCTAAATAAATATCGATTAACGGTCACTAATCACCGCACACTCTGTATATATTTGATAGAATAAATGGTTTTTTTTAAATAAAAATATACAACCTACAAAAAA